GAGAAAAGATAAAGATTTGTACATGCATTCCTCTTTGTAGGAAACTACTCTTTATTACTTGTTTTATAACCCCAAAGAAATCTTGCACATCTCAGGTCAAGGTTCTTAGTTTCTTCATATGGATCTTTGCTCATGCACTATAGGAGGCTGTGAAACTGTGAGGCACTTTAACAATCTCGTATTGAATTGAATTTAATTGGATTTGATTAGTCTATCTTTTCCCATTGCTTTACACTAGGGATTGTCTTTTTAAAAAGTGTCAAGTGATATTATAGTAAAAATAGTTAAATGGTAATAGGAAGTCAAATTCTCATCTCTAAAATGATAAGACTGTGCAGGATAAAAATGGAGCACTTCTTTCAGTGAGGAGTGTTTGTTAAAAGGACAGTAAAGTGAAATTTCACTTAGCATATCCAAAGGACAGCAACCACAATGAATGTTCACGCTGTATAGACTACTGTGCTCATCTTATTTACATGCACACTTATAAAAATAAAGTTTAAACCACTCAGAAATTCACCACCTGGTTGGAAAGACAAACTATGTAAACATGCAAAAGATTTATAAACAAAGAAAAAGCTATATAAATGAATGCACGTGTAGGGATAGTAAATGCTCCACAAATGCTTCCGTTTTGCATTGGAGAACATAGCAAAATGGAAGCTTCACAATTTATCAGTATAGTACAGAACTATATACTGATTCTGTTTATGATTTTTGTCTTTATTTTTGTTCTCGTCTTGATTCAGATAATTTTAAAGTATAATGTTTGTATGATCAGACTTTTTATGTTTTTACATATAAACAAAAATTTGCCCTGTCCCCCTCACCAACAAATGATCAAATCTGTTTGAAATTCAAAGAAAAGGTCAATTGTCAAAAATTAATTCTTTGATAAAACTTTAAGCACATCATGGGTTTCTCATGAGACTACAATGTTAAAAACAATCAATCAATATTAATGAAGCACTTAATATATTAGAGTCTATAACTTCCCTGATGATACAAGGGAGACAAAACCTTGGAACACAAATAAAATCCTAAAAAATTGGAAGAACTAACTAACTAACTAACTAATTAACTAACTATGTCAGGATTAAGGAAGGGATACACGTAAATAATAAAATAGCAATTCATTAAAGGAGCTTATTTAAGAAGTACATTCTAGTATAAAACAAGACTGTTACAAAAAAGATTTGGAACTAACTAAAATGTCCATCAATGGATGATTGGATAAAGAAAATGTGGCTATATATACACAATGGAATACTACTCAGCCATACAAAAGAATAAAATTCTGCCATTTGCAGCAACATGGATGAGCTTGGAGAAAATTATGTTAAG